AAGCCAGAAAAATGCTGCTTCGCATACAAGGAGCTCCTCTTTTTGGGTCACGTGAAGAGCAAGACTATATAGTGCGCACGACCCGCAGAAAACAGCTGCCATCGCTGCCTTCCCGCCACCCACCGACAAGAAGGCCGTGCGCCGATTTCTGTTTGTGGGCCTATTACAGACGCCTTGTCAAAGACTTTTCACAGATCACCGAGCCACTAACGCAACTTACGAAGACTGACGTCGATTTTAAATGAGAAACAGCGCAAATTGAAGCACTTAAAGAACTTAAATAACGCCTGCAGACACCAACGAATACGTCAAAACAGAAGTACACACACCGACGAATCCACCGAAGCAGAAGTACACACCGACGCAAGCAGCGTAGGACTCGGCGCCATCCTTGTACAAAAGACCGATGGCCTGGAAAAGGTTATCAGTTATGCTAGCCGGTCGCTATCAAAGACTGAGGCCAACTATTCTACAACAGAAAAGGAGTACCTTGCCACCATCTGGGCAGTGTAAAAATTTCGCTCTGATCTCTATGGCAGGCCTTTCAAAGTTGTGAGCAACCACCACGCCCTGTGTTGGATAGCTAACATGAAAGACCCTTCAGGTCACCTCGCACGATAGTCTAAGACTTCAAGAATTCGACATTACCGTCGTGTACAAGTCTGGAAGAGAACACTCCGAAGCAGACTGCCCGTCTCATGCCCCAGTCGATCCACCACCGCGGGACAACCAAGATGTGTACTTCTTGGGAATCACAGGTGCCGACGACTTGACCGAGCGACAGCGAGGCGACCCGGAACTGAGAGGGCTAGTGGAATACCTCGAGGGCCGAACCAGCGTCATTCCAAAAGTCTTCAGGCGAGGACTGACGTCATTTTTTTTTAAGAACAACGTCCTCGTGGAGAACTTCTCTCCTGCTTGAGCCAGCTACCTTATCATTGCGCCTTCAGCAATGCAACTGGAAATTATGCAGGCCCTTCACGATGACCCGAACACTCGTGAGAATACAATAAAAATACTACTGGCCACACCTTGCCGACGACGTCGCGCATTGCGTGAGGACATGCTGGGACTGCCAGCGAAGAAAGACATCGCCGATAAGGCCAGCAGGACTTCTGCAGCCCATCGAGCCACCTCACCGTCTGTTCTAGCACAACGTTATGGACTTACGTGGGCAGTTCCCGACGTCGACTGTGGGAAACAAATGGATCGTCGTAGCTACCGACTACCTTACCCGCTAGGTCAAGACAAAAGCCCTGCCGAAAGGTAGTGCACCTGAGGTAGCCAAATTTTTCATCAAAAACATCGTCCTGCATCGTCGCGTCCCGGAGGTCCTCATTACCGACAGAGGTACGGCATTTACTGCTGAGCTAACCCAAGCGATTTTGGCATACTGCCAGACAAGTCACTGCCGTACAACAGCGTACCATCCGCAGACCAATGGTCTCACCGGGCACCTTAACAGGACCATCGCTGACATGCTGACCATGTACGTCTACGTCGAAGACAAGACGTGGGATGCCATTTTTCCGTACGTAACCTTCACATACAACACTGCCATACAAGAAACGACGCAGATTACGCTGTAAAAGTTGGTCTACGGAAAGAAACTAACGACGCTCGATGCCATGCTGCCAAACGTCGCTAATGAAGAAAACCTCGACGTCACCTTCTACCTTCAGCGTGCGGAAGAAGCTTGTCAACTCGCCCGCCTGCGCATCAAGAATCAGCAGGCGATTGACAGCTGCCGTTACTATCTTCGATGAAGCTTTGTGGAGTACCAGCCCGGTGATTGTGTCTGGGTACAGACGCCGATATGCCGACGTGGACTCGGTGAATAACTCCTATGACGGTACTTCGGACCGTACAGAGTAGTTCAACGTCTCGGCCCACACGACTACGAGGTTGTTCCCGACGGCATTATGAACTCTCAACGGCGCCGTGCTCGACCTGAAGTCGTCCTTGTCGTGCGCCTCAAGCCATTTAATTCACGAACCTGAGGACTCTATTTTGTTGTTGATGTGCTTTATTGCTTGTACTTAGTGTTTATTGTCTTTATTACTGTACCTTCATCTTTTGTTAAAGCATCAGGACGACGCTTTCTTCAGAGGAGGCAATGCCACGTTCCTTTCAAGTTTTGTTATCACCCCGTTACACTACGTTCAGGCTTTGAGGCTGTAGTATATCGTTTTGTTGAGATTACGCCCACTTTGTGAACATTTCAGATTATTCTAGAACTTACGTCGCTGCTAGCAATAACGCTAGAATATTTGATGGCAAGTGTATAAATGCCGACGCCCTTCGCCGCTTATCAGTTGATCGACGGTCTCGCTGTAATCTGACTTTCTTTTTACGTGGCCACAAGTTAGGCCCAAATAAACAGTTTATTATCCGACCTGCAGTCTGCTTCCTTCATCCACGGCGCGACCCCGTGACAGTATGCGAGCCCTCATGCCTACAGGGTTGTCACCTATTTGAGAGCGAAAGATACCGACGGAAGAACGTTTGTGCGACGGCTTTTAGCAAAGGCTAGAGTGGCTCCTCTAAAACAGCTGACGTTAGCACGACTAGAATTGGTAGCAGCTTGCCTTTTTGAGACACACTCCCACGAAGCACTCCCACCTACTGTTGTACTGATTCCAATATCTGCCTAAGCTGGATACAGTCCATAGGAATGAAGTGGAAGCCATTTGTCGCTAACATGGGTAACCAAAATTCAAACTCATACTGAACCAAGCTGTTTGTGTCATTGTGCTGGGAAGAACCCAGAAGACTTGGTGACAAGAAGTTTGTCAGCATGCATGCTCAGAGTAGTTTGTGGTGGTATGGTCCCAGTTGTCTAGCTGCGGCTCTGGAAACATGGCCAAGGAGTGAAGAGGAGACCAGTGATACTACAGCGACATTAGTCGAAGCGAAAGACAAAATGAAGATGGTGTCTAAATGCGCAATTTAGGAGCCTATACTAGACAGGAACAAGTTCAGTTGCTGGCAAAAAATGTTAGGGTAATGGCGTGGGTCAAGAGATTTATACGCGAACCCCTATGGGATGGGAAGGCAATGTGCGTGCTCAAGAAATACGTGCAAGCGAAAAAGTATGGCTGAAGACAATACAATTGCGAGCATCCTGTGAAGACAGCGTCACACTGGCTGATGGCAGGACACTTGGCAAAGGCTTACGCATACGGGACCTTCATCCTTCCTTGGACAACAAAGGCATCCTTCACATCAAAACTCGCGTCGATCATGCAACGATTTCGAACGACATGAAATTCCCCGTATTGCTGCCACCAGACCAACACTGCACATGCCTGATCGTTCCCTCAGAAGCCTGTACCTATCGCGTTGCCCAGCTAGTGTAGCACACACCTGAACGTGAAAGACATTCATCGATGCATTCTGCATGATGGTGTTAGTGCTGCACTAGCTGAACTTTGTGATAGGTTCTGGCTTCTGAGGGGACGGCAGTGCGTCAAGAAAGTGATTAGTAAACGTATTGTGTGCGCGCAATTTCGTGTAAACACTACTGCGGCACCGTCAGCTCCTCTTCCAAAGGAAGAGTTTCCCAGTCACAACCGTTTCAAGTCAGCGGCGTCAACTTTGCTGGGCCCGTGTTTGTGATAGGAAATTGCACTGTGAAAGCGTACACTGTCGTGTTCACTTGTGCAGTAGTGAGAGCCATTCATTTAGAGTCACGTGGGGGTATGACTGTTAATTCAATTCTGCTGACTTTTCGACATTTTGTCGCTCGGCGGGGCATACCAAGTGTTTATATTCTGATGACACGTTTAGAGCAGCTAGTTGGGAATCCGAGTCCATCTATGAGATTTTACAACACGTTCAAGTCCAGAACTTTTGCGCGACGAGCTACATCGCGTGGCAATTTATTGCAAAGCGTGCTTCATGGCGGGGAGGATTCTGGGAAAGGATAAGAACGGTTAAAGGCTACCTCTGGAGAACATTAGGGAAGAGCAGCTTCAACTTTGAGCAACTGAGTACAGTTTTAGCAGAAGTCGAAGCAGTGGTCAATTCTAGACCATTAACACAAGTTTCTGCTGAAGCGAAAGAACCTCAAGTTTTTACATCTGCTCATTTGTTGGCTCTTCGACAACTAGCCTACCGCACCATGAAGTTCTGATAACGGCAATGAAATGCACACACACTGCGCCTGTAAAGAGAACGTCGGCGCAGGCTAACCACTTTCTGGAACCACTGGTACAAAGAATACCTACTAGCTCTTAGAAGCGCTCACTTGAGAAAGGATAAAGGAAAGGAAATAGAATTAAGTGTTGATGACATTGTATTGATACGCGATGACAAAGTGCCTATAACATTCTGAAAAATGGAAAGGATTTGTAAGGTATACAAGAGTACGGATGAACACGTTAGGGCATACAGAATCCTATTAGCAAATAAAACAGGTTGCGAGGCAGATACAACTCCCATCTCCCTTGGAATTATGCAAGTGAAATTGTTGGTGGTAAAGGATGTAGGAACTTGATGGAAGAGACGAAGAAGGGTAGCGGGGCAGATGCTGTTTGGGACTCGTGGATCGTTCAAATGTATGCCATGTTTGGACGGCATGGCACGCAGTGCCAAAAAAGGCTGCAGAGAGATTTTTCACAGCTGCTATTGCGCTAATGACAGCTATATTTCATGTTGGGGCACGTTCTTCCATCAACGCAGCATCCCGCACTGTAATGCGTACTAGAGTGCTTTGCTAACGGGCAAGAACTTTGTTCCGAGACATGAAAAGTAGCCATTTTCTCGCAGTAACAAAATAGTTAACTTAAAAATCCTGATAATTGCCACTGTCATTACCCAAGTGCTGCACATTAACATTTTCCTGATGCTTGAGATTGAATCTACTTGCATGCATAAAATGTGTATTTGTCAAGAAACATTCCTGCAGCTCAAGCAGTGCTAAGTGCCACACACTGTCTTGCAGCAGGACTGTGCATGTACCGGTGCCATCGGTTTCAGGCACGTTCACTTGTGTGCAGACGCAGCGACAAAAGACGGAGCTGAGCTTCCGCTTTGACCGGGTGTTCCCGGGTGTGGCCAGCCAGGCCGAGGTGTTTGCTGAGGTGTCGCAGTTGGTGCGGAGTGCGCTGGATGGCTACCACGTGTGCATCTTTGCCTACGGTCAGACTGGTGCGGGCAAGACACACACCATGGAGGGACCCGCCGGGGAGCTGGCCCTCCAAGACGAGCGAAGGGGCTTGATTCCCCGTGCCTTGCACCAGGTCTTCGACGAGGCACACAAGCAGCCACACTGGACGGTTGGGGCTCCTTCTCTCTTTCTTCTTGTCTTGCTTCCCAATGCCGATAACTGTGCTAGGCAAACTAATCGCATGAACTATACATTGGTAGCTGGAGAAGTTCTCCAAGTGTAGAGCCTGGTGATGGCTGCGTGTGTGTGTACAACAACATGCGAGTGACCTGTGCAAGCAATACAGGCTGCTTGCATGTCCCAATTTCGGCAAGGCTTCTCATTCACGATGTGTGTGTGCTTTCAAAGATTGCTGCTTGCAGAAGGCACGTGCAGATATGCAACTGGGGCTATGCAGGGGGCAGTTCCTATCAAGGTTGGAAGCTTGTGCAGAAACTTGAAGCCACATTTGCTAAAGCACTTCCAAGATCCACGCTCAATATAATTCTAAGATTGGACACTTAGTTCTTCTGGACAATAGGCCAGTCTTGTTACCTTTCGTGCTGTCCCAGCAATGACCGTCTTTGGCTACGCACTGGCTGGGTGCTGAGTGTGCAATCGGGAAGCGCTGGACACTTGGCGAGTCTTAGCGAGTTGTAGGGCTGTGTTCACAGCCTCTCATGACTGCACATGCGTGTTCAGACATCCAAGGCACCGAGCGCAGCACACAAGTACACAGTACTGTTCTCAAACAAGTAGCAACACTTTATTGCCTGCAATAACACCAAAAACGCCGTACAGCACCTGTTGCAAAATGCGGCGGGAAAGCAAGCGAGGCTTATCCACGGCACAGGCGAAAGTACGACGCAAAGGATGCTGCAAGCACGTCTTCATAGGTAAAAGGTTTCATGGTGAAACACCGCTGAGGGAAACACTCCTTCGTGACTGTTCTGTGTGCTCTCACACTCTGTGACCACAGGGTCCGATCGCTCCAGCGAGGACAAACTTCGCTCGCGTTGGCTTCGAGGGTACGGGTCAGTGTAGTACGACCATGCACAAACAAACCGCATCGATTTTCGGCCTAGCTTTTGGAAGAAGCAACAAAAGGTCAGCGTTCACTGCAGGCGCAAGGCACTGTTGGTGAGTCGGAGCGAGCCCCTAGAACATAGGGCCGGTGGCCTGAAAACAAAGCGCGTGCTCAACCTTCGCTGTTCCGAGAGGTCTCTTCTACTCCCGCCGGGCACGCGCATGAAAACGTCTTAAGAGGTGGCCCCCAATTGAGATCTGATTGCTGGAGAGAGGTTAGCATCACTCCTGTTCAGGGGAAGTTGTGTTGGGGCAGAAATAGCCGAAAAAGCCCATACAATGGCGATGCGCTAGCCTCAATCCCCACAATGTGCTATTCTTAACGCAACAGCTCTAAGGAAAGCTAATATTCATGCTTGGCTCACAAGTTGCAGAAATTTGCAGAGGGCCTTCCTGCGCTTTTTTTATTTGCCACCACCATACCAATCGACAGATACCCGAAGTAATAATATTGCGGGAACTAGTGCTTGCCAGCAGTAGCTATTGGTATTGATTTTAATTGATGCAGAGAAATTAATCTGAACTGATTGCATATACCGGAAATCTCATCATGCATAGAAACATTATTTATCAAGTTCACATGATTAACAAAAATTGTATATCACACAAAATATATTCTGTAGGTATTTTCTTTGTGTGCAATTTCTTTTTTGTAAGTTTATGCAATAATTTGGCACCAGCAAGGAAGTGCATGAAACTTCCTCGTAATGTACAAGTGGCGGAAATGAAGACAAGCCAGTGTCGGAGAGTGTGACGCGTTGTATTTTTCATGTGCAATAGATTTTTCTTTGCAGCGTTCTTGTTTGCATTCTTGTCACTAGTCGATGTTTTGGATAATACGACCCGGCATTGTCCATTGTAGCTGGTGGCTGTTAGTACGCAGTGCAAGAAGAAACTTGTCAACTGTGCTTTGGCATTGCATCAGCAAACGAGGACTCGATAAAGGTGCACCAAGACTCGGAGAACGTGCAGTCGTGTGCTGTTTTCATGCGGCTTTGTAGTGTCATTTATTTGCGTCACCACCACATAATGTGCCAAGGCCATATAAACATTGCAACTTTCCTTTGCATAACTCTAGTGTTGCTTAAGCAGAAGCTCGGTACTAAACTGGAAAGTGGCCTCGAAGTTTCTGCCCCCTCGTGGTATTTTATTCTTCCAGTACGAAATGGTGGCCAGCTTTATCGAGGTCTACAATGAGACCCTGCGCGACCTCCTGGTGCCCCCTGGCCAGGCGCCACCGTCGGCTCCCCTGCAACTCAAGCTGGCGCGCAAGGATGGCCCTGTCCGAGTGGCAAACCTCACGGAGGTCCCTGTCACATCAGCTCAGCAGGTTTGCAGTACCTACCTAATAACTAGTCCCATAGAAGACCTTCCATTAAAAGTCACTTTCTAGGCTTGTGTGGATATTCGAAGATGAATATTAGTCCACATCTAACTCTTTGTAAAGCTGCTTTTGCTGCATCAAAGAGGGGTTAAGCTGGGAAAACACCTATTCAAAAATTCGCATGTAATTTCTTGTCAAGTTGGTTTCTCGGCAATGAGGTAGCGTTACGCCATAAAATTTGCACTGTCGCAAAGCCTCTTTTCAAGGTTAAATGAAAATTAATTTACCTATTTTCGCGCTTATAACCCTCCCTGCAGATAATCTGCAACCTCACTTTCAGCTCCCTAAGAGAGAAAAAAGTTGTCGCGTCTTGCTTGCCCATTTTATATACAGAAAAGGCTGTACAAAAGCTACTGCTCAAGCAGTAGAGCCCTTGTTGCTTCATAAAGTGGCGCAGCCATCTGCGGCTTGCACGGAATCCGTGAGGCAGGCCTAGCTCTCTTGACAGTCGCCATGCTTCCACTTGGGCCATCTCGGAGACGATGTGACCCCTGCTTCTCACATCTACTATGACCTTTACTAGCTGCACCTCTGGCTCTAGGTGGGCATCAATCTTGGGGCCACGAAAGGACCTACGGTCGTGGTGTGCGACTTGTAGACTTTTCTTCTTTCTACACTGGGGCACGCAGGACTCGTCCACATCGTGCCATCTTTCCGCTTTGCGATTCCCGAATTCCTTGGCGACTGCTATGATGTTGAGCTTTTGCTGTGTGATGAAGGGCTGCCGCCGGACGCTACTCATAGCGACAGAACAAATCGAGCTAGGCTTGGCAAATGGGTCGAGATGTGGAGAACTATAATCGGTGACAACTTTCTGTGGCAATGAAGGGAAAGCTACGGGGGCGGAGCTACAGTATATGTAGTCCTCCACGAAGAAGTCCATTAGAGTCACTTTTTGAATGCTGGCCGTGTGCGTAAAATGCCACTTCATAGAATTTGCTGTCTGCTTACACAGCTATTTGCGACTGAAATTCGACACAAGCTCTTTCAGCGAGTAGTTGGAATAGCCGAAGGGCGACGAGCACTTGCCTAAAGATAAATACGCCATTTTGACTGTGAAATGCACCTAAAACGTGTGACAATTTCAGGCGTGCAAAAACGTGACATGACATTTCATGAAGCAAAACAAGTATTTTTTTGGTTTGTGCAGCATCTCTTTATAAACGCCATTCCATAGAAATAATGTAGTTTTATAATATCTTCAGGCGAAAAACAGACGCATTTGTGTGTCTATATTCTTCAGCGATGGCACTCGCCCACCTGGTTCCATAGGCTTTCCTTCATTGTTGCAGAAATTTGTTCCCTGTGTAGTAATATCAGCAAGGTAAAAAGAGCTTGCACTCGGTGACAACTTTTTTGACAGCACCATGGAAGCAACACAACTGAAATGCATAACTGCTACCACGCCAAAAGTAGTACTTAAATTTACTGATATCTAATTTGCCTTGCTGAAATAAATACTACTTTACTAATTATGGAACTCTAACAGTTGTGCAAAGTCGTAGGTAAGATAGAGGTGTTGTTCACTTTGCGAAAATGCCTTTTTTTTATATTTTTAGACAGCACCACCTTTTCGGCAAGCCCTTTTTCAAGGTAAACATGGCATTTGTCACGTAGGGGCATGTGGAGCGTGATGGAGGGTCACTGTGCAGCCACAAACATCTAAAAATGTACTTGACAGTGAGCTTTACAATGAATAATTAAATTGTCTCTCGCCAAATGTTTCTCTAAAAGCAAAACCAAAATTGGCCACAAGCTGCCGTACTACTTGCGGAGCAGCACGAATTCCTGAAAACCGGCTCCGTAGCTTTTGCTGCATTGTTAAAAGGCTTCACGGCACAACACACAATGCTGTGAAGCAGCACTACAGGAAAAAGTTGGGTATTATGTTACTTGGCCACTGAATTTTTCGGGTTTTTTGTGCGGGTTATATGCACCAAAATACGGTAAGTTTAAAAGCTTGTTATAACGAGTGTGTCTTAAGTGTAGCAACTTTTAAAATGTAACATGTTTCTAGAATTAGGTACATATTAGTGCAAACTTGGAAAAAGACAGATTTGAAAAAAGAAGTAAGAGGGAACAGAAAGGTCAGGTGCTCCCTTACTTCTTTTCTCGGATCTTTTTCCAAGTTTATCCTATTGTCTGCGACTGCTGCATTTCCGATGGAGGCGGAAATGTTGTAGGTCCGTGTGCTCAGATTTGGGTGCACATTAAAGAACCCGAGGTGTTCGAAATTTCAGGAGCCCTCCACTACGGTGTCTCTCATAATCATAGCGTGGGTTTGGGACGTTAAACCCCACATATCAACCATATCAATCAGTTTATCCAATTGTGTACTGTATCGGTGTTAAGGAACTAACCCAACAAGAAATCTTACTAAGTATTTTACAGGCTGTCAGTTGCGCTGTACTTAAACTCAAATCCTGCTACTATTCAAAATGGTTTCCACTTCACTTGAAGAAAAAAAAAAAAAAAAAAAAAAAAACGGGCATTTGCACAGGTCTTGTTTCAGTTAAAAAAAATATTCTGTAGGTTACACAGGTCATGATAAATACACCAATTTTTCGTTATATGCTATATATATACTATGTGAATTTCATTTGAAATTAATTGACCGAAGTTGCTCTTCGCTTCAAACCTAACATTTGCTATTCCTACAAGCCTACCCATAAGTTGATGAGATGCAGCACATACTTAGGTTTTTCTTTTTTTCCACACTAGCGTTTCAGTACAGTAAACTCTTAGAAACGGAAATCTGTTTTAAACAAAACTGCTTCTCAAATAGATTGGTTTCATGCTTGCATTCTGCCTCCCTGTTTATTTGGGAACCCATTTTCTTGGTCCCTTCAGGTTTCATTTAATGAGAGTTTATTGTAATTGGTTGAAGGAGTGCCAAAATGTCCATATTTTCTCCTTCAACACAAGCTGTTTCACACTTTAACGACGACTTGCACAAAAAAAAAGAAAATAAGGATTGCAGTAGTCTGGTCTGAACATGCATGTCCTCATAACAATGGCTATACTTGGCTACAGATATCCACTTTGCATTTGGCTAGATTTGGGCAACAGTTTCTCTTTTGGCTACACCATGACTTCGGACCTGCAACACTGGAAAAAGCCAACGTAAGCAAACGCTATTGCTGTGGCGAGCAAAAGCTTTGCTCTGCGTGAAGATCTGTTTTTTCAGCATTTCCCTTTTGGAAATGTGGCTAGGTTTAGGAAATAGCTGAAGTGAGTCTAATAGGACTTGTTGGTGCGTAGGTATAACTTAGGAATAGTAAAAGAATACCGCCTGTTAATACCAGAACAGTACGTGTTCCCTCATCTTCGTCTTTGTCCGTGTCGCGTTTGAGATACTGCATTTACTTGCATATTTTGCGCTCCTCAATCCGGCCGAACCAGCTCGCCGACGCGCGTACGAAAAGGTTAAGGAGCTTGGGGTTCTTTGGATGGGCGTCGTGCGCACGGTGCGCCGATCAGGTGAGCACAGTCAAACGGGCTGCGAGCGCGAAGTCACTTCTTCCGAAGATTTATTACGCGTTAGGGTTCCTAGAATACTGTGCACGAACACTCAAGCCTGTTGACGGGTCGCTGAAACTGCTAGAGCATTTTTCCCCCTCTTATTTCTCCGTCTCTAGCACTGTGTGAATGCAGGCTCGAGTCATCGCAGGGACAGCTTTCAGCTCAGGAGGCGTGCAAGGGCCTGTGGGGCTTGTTGCGCCAACTGTTCTCCTGATTCTTTGCGTCCATGCTGCAACGCATGCTTGGTCGATTTTGGAAGTTTAATTTTTGCCATCCATCTTTTGCGTTTTTAGTGTTCTCTTGTGGTGGGCTACAGTAATTGCGGCAAAATTCAAGCTCGCTGTTGTAAAGTTTGCCAAAGAAAACGGGAGTTGTGCCACCGCCAAGCACTTTAGCGTTATGTTTTCCAATGTGTGACGATCGGCGCGATCTGTACAGAAGGAAGAGTGCGCACCTGCTGATAAAATTTTCCTGTTTATAAAGGACTTTCCAATGTTCGAACACTTAGGTCCTCCGGTATCGTTGTTGTGGTACCTAGTTTGTCTCAGCATTGTTGAGAAGAGCTTCAAAAAAATGGAACATTCAGACGCGCTGGATAGAACCGAGGGCGATGCGCTTGGGAGGCTGGTGGCAGTGGCCACAACGATGGTTCTCAATTGGACCTCTCCATCAGCTATTCCGACTAGACCGTGCATGACTAGATCTGAATACTAACTTTGTTAAACAAGCAAGTACACTTCGTTCATGCTCCAATTTATTTTGTTTTCTTTAATGTGTATACTTTGCTCGTTAGGACAATTGCACAATATCATATGCGTTCAAGAAATCTCCACATAATTTGCACACACCCCTTCTCGGAGCCCTAGAATCGCGAAAAAAAAACTGCGCAAATCATGCGAGTAAATACTGTATACTCAAGCATACACAATAGAATACGATACAATTGCTTACATTTGCAAAATAACATGACTCTTCACATCTACGAACAAAACTGCTGTGCCGCTAAGATGCTTGATTCTGCATAGTGCATGTAACTGGCAGTTCAACACGATGCAAAACCTAGTCACAAAAGTGAGTGTCCCAAAAGCGACAGCTGCTCCCGGCTATCGCGTACATTGTACACACTGATCCTTTCTGTCTTAATGTGAGACATGTGACATTTTGCCACCTTTCGCAATCGTACCATCTCGCATGAGGGAACAGGCTTTAAAAGCTTCAAGAGCTTCCCAACAAGGAATTTCCCAAGTGTCCGCATTGCGATCTGCCAAGTCTTTACAAAGATGGTGGTGAGCACGCACAGTCTCTTTTCAGCATCTGCTAGCCTGAAATCTTCCACAACAATTTTGTTCTGGTCATGAAGGAGTGAAAGAACTGTCATGGATCTGCTGGTTCTGCTAACACCTGGCTAGACAAAACATTTTACCCAGATAAAAGGAACTCGATCTGAAAATGTGCAGCACAGGGGCCGGAGCAGCTCCAAAATGAACGCGTTCTGGGAGAAGGAGGAAATGACATCCTATCTGCCATACTCACTGGGCACAAAGGCAGTGGTGTATGTACCTTTCAGCCGACATTATGCAAATGTGACATCTTCCTGCTAATCCCCCATCATTTTTTACACTTACCCGCTCATTCACCAAGCGCTGGAATAATCTTTAAGAAGAACATGCCTAGCAAAAACGGGCTTAACGCCATGAGATTTGTCGGTGGCACTTCAATAGATGTCTTACCCAAGGAAAAGAGAAAAGAAATTTAGAAACATTAGCTCGGACCATTGCAACGTACAATGAAATCTCGGTACAATGAACTTCAGGGGATCGTGGAAATTTGTTATTTTGAAAGGTCGTTATAGTGAAAGCTCGAAAACTAATCATAAATACTTATTTTTCGTCGACCAAAGCGACTTACCTTCACTACGGTCGATCTTTGAACTCATTTTCACAAGAAAAAAACAAATGCACAAGTAAACACCGAAAAATGCACCTTTACTTTTATTGAGTCTGATATATATATATATATATATATATATATATATATATATATATATATGTATATATATTTTTTTTACGTGAGCAGCACGAACTTCGCAGCACGAACTTCGCAGCGCGAAGGCCTCCAGCTCATCCACATTTATGTGGTGCGATTCGGTTCTTTAGTCACATCAGTCTGCTTTTTGCCTTCCAGTTGCTGAAGAATATTCATTGTCTCGCTTAGCGAAAACTGCTTTCGCTTCTTCGTCACAAGCAGAGATGGACTCATTGGTAGTATCATCGCAGCGCGAACGCCGACATGCTTTGCGAACGCAATAAGGAATCACCGAAAAGAGATGAACACGACTGAAAAAACAAGCCTTCCAAAGAAAATTATAAAGTGTCACGGCTGTCATCGTCTCTTTCAAAGACAAAAAAGTTCTAAAAAAGAAAATTTCCTCGCTTTTCAGTTTCTGCTCTGTTGCTGCCTCAGGTTTTCTGCGCCCATGCTTCCTGCTCCGCAACTCCCACTCTGCTTTTCTGACCTTGCTCTCCCGTGTTGCCCTCGCCTCTGCGCCCGCTTGTAAACCTGCAGCGTCGTCGTTTCAACAAAAACAAAGAAAAGAAAGTCGCCCTTTCGTTTTGTTTTTTTTTTTCCTTCACACGGTCGCGCGTCTTCTAGAAGCAAGGCGTCCGTTCGCTTTGTGGTCTGCTTGCGTACTGCTTCGGTGGTCGCGATGGATTTCAGAACATAAGTTTGTAGTACTCGGGCATTGTTAATATAACAGCAGAACCAAATTAACGCTCGTTACTCTGAAAAGTTGGATATTCTGAAGTACGTAGTAGTGAAATAATTTTACATTGAAACTATTAGCAGTTGGCGTGAGATTTTTTAAAAGTTTGTTAATGTGGGGTTTGTTCTACAAAGATTTCACTGTATACAGGACAAAAGACAAGCACATACGGGCCCTTCATTTTCTGTCCTTTATTCTGCACTGTGCAATTCAATATGCTCTGAGTCAAGACACAACTAGCTCGGCTGCCCGTTCTTTTGTTCCAACCATCACATTAACATTGAGTAAAGAGCATGACAGCAACATTGTTACAATGATGGAAGTGCTGCTGCGATTGCTCCAAGCTGCTCCAAAAGAGAAATGTTCTCCATGCTGCTTCAAAGTGCAATATTTGTTATTAACTGCTTCAAAATGGTGTTGGCAAACTAAAAAAAGAAAGTTGATGCATGGGGCCATCTCGTGTGCCAAAGCGAAACCAAAAGCAAATTGTATGCACTGGGATCATAGTATGCTACTCAGAGAGACGTAAATCCAGAAAAATCACAAGGGGTGACATATATCGGGCTGTGGTGACCAATTTGAATTTTTAATATGGGTTGTATTTTTATTTATATGAGAATTAAATCATGGTTTCAAATAAAATTTAAGAAAAACTGCATGGGGTCCGGGCTTAAGCAATCGCATTGTTCTGTTCACTCTTCTTTTCACCTTTTCGTGATTTCCGTAGTTCATGCAGCTGAGGGCAATTTAACAAAGGTACACAGTAAAAGATAAAAAGCCTTTCAAAACGTTGATTGGGCTATACTTAACTGTTTGTGATGGTGTTCTAAGAAAAGGCCCACAGCATTCTTGGATGACCATCTTGGATGACTTCACGTGTGTCAGTCGAGTAAAATATGTCGGTTGAGTAAAATTTCTTGAATGTACTACAAGGAGACTAAAATAATACAAAGTGTCTTGATAAAGTAGAAAGAAAATGCAAGTTACAAAGTGCTATTATAATGCTGTTGTGATATATGCGCTGTTTTAACCTTGCAAGATAAAACAAGTGATCTCCAGTTCCCGAGGAAGTTTAGCTGATAAAGTACACTTGTTCAAGTATTGCAGTTTCTCATCATAATGTTATGGGTAGATAAAGTGTGGCGTGATATATTTACAATAGATAAAGGAGCACTAGTAGGCAGGCATACTAGATAGAGCCCACTGTGCACGAGTGACCGCTGAAAATTATTCATCTTCGATGCCTCAAAGCAATATACTAATCTACTTCATTTCTTTTGTCTTTGTAAAGAATCGAACCACCATAACGACTGGTCAGTTCCTGTTGGAACCCTAGTAAAACCACTTGCTTTTTTGTTCAACTGGTTCCAGTCGATGTCCTGTTGGCTTATACAAAATGGAACGAGTTGCTTAAACGAAAACATGTTGTTCGATGAGTCGGTGGACATCGATAATTGAGTTTAAGGAAAGGAAAATTGCGAGGGGACAGACAGAATGCTGGTGTCCTTTCTTGGAGTGCATTTTTTTGCACCTTAAAATCAATTGCGGAACCAGTTGATGTCAGTTGAAGGTAGTTGGATTATAAGCTGCACATTCTCACCTTTGATGGCTTTGTAAAATTTAAAAATGGGATTGCCCTCTGAAAGAACAAAAAATCCTTGCACGTTGAGCTTGTGAGCCCTTGAGTTGTATTATATAAGGGACAGAGCAAGGCTTTACTGCAGTTAGTTCAACTGCAACTACTGTTGCTGTGTCGGCTTTTCAGATGTTCTTGCCTTAAAACTGTGATGTAAGAAAAAGCAGTTATGATTCTTGCCATTGCTTTTTTGCAATTACGGAGCGTTGTGGGCCCTCTTGTTCTCTTTTTCAGATCAGCGAGCTGCTGCAATGTGCTCGAAAGAACCGTGCAGTGGCAGCCACAAAGTGCAATGAGCGGTCCTCCCGGTCCCACTCAGTCTTCCGCCTTGACATCTGTGGCCACAACAGTCACACTGGTGTGGGTTGTCGGGGTAAGTGTTGTCACGTGCAATGGCCAGGGTTCTAAAGGAGCCTCAAACTGTTTTCAAAAGATAATGTTCTTTGGAGCTTTCATGTATCCAGGTTTTGCGGTTAGAGCTATGTTGGTACTCTCTTCGGAAAAAATGTAACAATATCAACCAGAAGTTGAGAATCTGCTTATTACCGTATATTACCGATTATAAGTTGACTTCTTTTTTTTTTTTTTTTCATAAAATGGCCTTGCAAAGTTCGGGGGTCGACCTTTATGCGGAATCATAAAGTTGACTTTGAATCATGAAGTTGTCACGGTTGTCGTCCTCAGATTCACTGCTATTCGATGCATTGATATCAGCTGCAGAGGCAACAAAGTTGCGGGAACTTCTCCCAACGCGCATGCACGCCACTTTGGGAGCCGGACATTTTTATGATCTGCTGTGACGATCGTGAAACTACGGTATTGCTATGGTGTTTAGAAAAGGAGGTGCCAGCAAAGCGTGTTGGAGATGCAGCATTTTTTAATGATGCTTCACTAACCTCATCGCAGTTTCAATGGTAGCTCCACCGTATTGGCGAGTTTGTCGGGTGAGATCGGTAACAACACCGGCACTCGCTGCATATGGGAATGACAGTGCATTTCGCTCACAAAAAAACGCAGCATGCATTTATCGCTCGCTAACAATTTTAAGATATGTTTGTCAGTCGTGAAAAACTCAACGTGCATCTCTAGCTCACAAGAAAAAGATACCGTTTGCGAAAGATCTGACATGTGTGTCTCGCTTCAGTGGATAGCGTGCCCTAACAGCGCTTGCTGACTAGGCAATGGAAAAGCTGGCAATGCCGTGTGGGCTCGCAATACTTCTTAGGGAACTGAACCACATGACCAGTCACATAGGCCCACAAGCGTCTTCATGTCTTTTTACGCTCACGCCTGTTTGCCATTTTTGCATTTCGCCTCGCTTGTGGAGGTGTGTGCAATTTGTGAAGCTGCTAAACGGACACCAAGAAGCCATCGCTATACCAGCAACAGTACAGCGCTGCTTTCAAGCGGCAAGCGATCCTCTAAGCATAGTCGGAAAGCAACGTTGAAGTATGGTGGAAGTACCGTAAAAGCCTGCGTATACTAGCTCGGACCCGCATGTAGTTCCGGGTGTAATTTGGGGATAGTAAGTGCGACAAAAAGTTTTCACCCAAATATAGCCAGTGTAAAACAGAAAAATGCATTTATTGACACACTTCATTCATCGTCGTCTTTGGAAGCACTCTCTTGTGAAGCGCCCTTGTCATAAATGTTCTCCCACAGCACATCATTCTCAGTGCCATCAAGTGCGTTCGAGATGGAGCACTTTTTGAATGCACGACAAACAAGTGCCTTGAAACTGCAGGCCCAAGTCTCGACTATACAAGTGCTCGAGCACGGCATTCCTGGCAAAGCCAGTTTCAGCCGTCCGGCAGGAGTCACTTCTGGTTCTCTGGACCTCATCCACTCTGCGTACAGGCGCTTGACATGGTCCTTAAATGGCTTATTGAGGCACACATCAAGCGGCTGCAGCTGTGATGTCATCCCTCCCAGAATGACGACGAGCTCACTGAAGCAGTGGCGCAGCAGTCTCTTTACAGGGTCGGTCAGGTGACACCGAAACCCATCGGGCACAAGCGTCGAAGGCTGACCCAGCAGTGCTCCTGGCCGTCGACACTACATGGACTTTTTCCAGTCAAGCACTAGCGATTCATTCATCCACTCCTTGTCTTGTCAGCGGACGACGACATTTTTTGGGGAACTTTATCTTTCAGCAGCATCTTTCGTTTGAACGCCACGTAGGGTGGTAGCTTGCGACCGTCTGCAGTGCAGGACAACAATACAGTCACCCGCGTCTTTTTCATTCCCAGTCACCAGCACAATATTTTTGCCTAAAGCATTTCTGATGCTATCGTCAGCGCCCAGGGCAATATCCTGGTAGACCGGCGTTTCTTCCCCGTTGCAGATCTGGCTCAGCTGAAAGGGCGACAGCTTTTCGCAGCGAAATTACATACTTTTAAAACTTCACAAGGTCCTCTTCGTAGCTCTTTGGTAGCTCCTTTAAAATCGACGTAGGGAGAACCCAGTGCGACACTTGAAGAGAGACACTCAATGCTTGCTCCATTGAAATCCTCTGGCTGACTGCTTTTGTCTTGGGAGATTTTTCTTGCCTTCACTTGTAGCAGCGAGATGTAATAGCGAGGATGGCAGCTCATTGCTCCCGGACAGTCTGCGCGTTTTCGTTCCACGTCAGGAAATGCTCCATCCTTAGGTTCGCAGAAACAATTTTGCTGGCGGCTGCAAGCAGAGTGGGCGTCCTTCTGCTTCAGCCAACCGCTAATAATCTGCTCGTTGACTCCAAGCTGCCGCTCCACAGCACAGTTGCCAATTGTTTCGGCAGCAGCGATAACTTTTAAAAGCAGCAGAGTACAGCCTGCGCGGTGCTGATATGGTGTAAAAATCAGGGGAGAAAAATTGTGGCCATCATTATAATCGCCAACTTGAAGGAAAGGAAACTGACCACTGTTGCACACAAGGGTCTGTAAGACGGACACCTGCTATTGGCGCTAACACTAGCGCAGAAGTGCGCAAACACCTGATAATGATGCTAATAGCACCGCGGTATGCTAAAACTACAACTGAATTTCGGGTGAGAATTCTTAAGACCCGCGTATAGCACTAGGCGAAAATTTTGTTCCCTAATATTTCAAAGAAACCTCCGGGCTATACGCGGACTTTTATGATACAATGTGTAGAAAAAGTGCGTGAGGGAATAGAGAAAACAAAGGACCAAGATCTTTGTGTGCACTGTGATACGCTGTTCCTTTCGCGGACCTAAGTCTGAACGATACTCAACCGACACGGTTCACGCGGCGCTTTCTACATGCGGCATCTCAGTACCATCAGCACCCCTTGCGACGATGAGCAGCAGCAATAACTCACACGATGGCAGTGATGGTGACTGCCGCATCCTTCTCTCCAGCGATGACGAGTCGTAAGCGACGTTTCACTATCAAAGAAATGTTTCTTTGCATTACTCCCTCGTCTAAAAGATTTTCCGTATTTACTCGCGTAATTTTCGCACTCGCATAATTCTCGCACCCCCCACATGGCCCAACAAAAATACGATTTTTTTTCCTCGAGTAATGATCGCACCCTCGAAAACTGCCGCAATAATGTCGTCTGCTCGTTCCAACCACTGATGATGATAGCGTGTGCCATCTGGCACCATCTCTTAAGCATTAAGCGTACTATTATTGCATGAAGATTCAATTCGATCCAAGCCAAGCCAAAGTATCAAGTGTGCATTACGGCGTGTTTTGTATGTTGTGCCGGTAATCTTGTCACGTTATGGGGCGATACTGAAGCTACACGGCTGCTTTCAAGTTGAAAGTGATAGAACATGCACTAAACAACTGTAACAGGGCCACCGGTAGGCCCTTCGAAGTCTATGAGTTCTGCGTTCGCTACTGGTGACGGCAGCTGTAAGCCACCAAGACGCCGTTGGGCCTGCCGTGTGCCTGAAACTGGGATTGATGGTAAAATTAATTTCATCAGAAGGAAAGTGCGGACGATTCTGTTAAATAGCCATCAGCCCAATACTGACGTTCTATGCTAACTTTTTGAGGGCTCCTGTTGATTGACGTACGCGACTGCTATGCCCACAAGCTTTGCGTATGGTATTCGAATTCTCGACTGTGTTAGATTACACTTTTTGCGTCTCAAATAAATCTTGCCTTTTGTTGAACCTGTGCTTTTACTGTTGAGGTAAGCTTTAATTAGTACTTCTCAAGGCTTGCTGTTAGTTGCTGTGTGAGAATCCCGATTTGCGGCCACTTCGTTTTCTTCTTCGCACTGTATGTTTTCGTGGAAAGTTTTCCCCGCGTAATTCTTGCACCCCCCAACTTTGCATCGGTTTTTCCGCCAAAAAAAGTGAGAGGATTATGCGAGTAAATACGGTACTGTAGTGCTATGGACACAGCATGAGGCTGTGTTCTGATGATGATCGGTTTGTGGGGTTTAACGTCCCAAAACCACATTTGATATAAGAGACGCCGTAGTGGAGGGCTCCGGAAATTTTGACCACCTGGGGTTCTTTAACGTGCACCAAATCTGAGTACACGGGCCTACAACATTTCCGCCTCCGTCGAAAATGCAGCCGCCGCTGCCGGGAATTGAACCCGCGACCTGCGGGTCAGCAGCCGAGTACCTTAGCCACTAGACCACCGCGGCGGGGCAAGGCTGTGTTCGGAGTCAACTTTTTTTTTCCTAGGAGGGGTTGCAAGTTAGGGGGGGGGTCGAATTTTTTTTTATTGCGACAAAGACTTGCCTTTAAGGCATAATATTTTTGTGTTAAATGTGTGCTCTGTTAGGCCGGTGTTGTGTATGAAATGAAGTAGTGTCTTGTGGAATCTGTTTCATGTATCTAGTGGTCGTAACTGGCTTGTGTCGCTGTAGCGAAGGCCTGCTTGAGCGAGGTGACGGGAGCGTTCTGGCTGCCACCCTTTACATGTCCATAAAAGGTGGTATTTATCTGCTTGCATCGCAGGAGTAGGACAATATGGACACGCATCACCAACTCGTAAATGTGACCAGTGCCATGACGATATAACGGCCGGTGTAAGGGCCACCCCTGCCCGAAGCCTCCTAAGCACAACTTCCTCCACCTTTGTAAGGTGAGGGTGGAGAGAGCATACACACGGTGGAATGAGAGCACGTGTATCGTGCCGAAGAACATTTTTACGGGTATGGAGTAAGTTTAGGGGCTGAGGTGGAAGGGGAATGGCTGGAAGGTCTACGTCAGGAGGGCAGTGCGCCTGCTGGTCACAAGATATGTTGTGTGGGTTCACAGCATGGCCTTTAACTCAATGTATCTTTACGCAAGTAGCCGTATTATGGTTCAGCTTAGAATCGCCTCGCAGAGCTCCATGGCCTTGTGTACTTTCTTGAGCTCCTTAATAGCTCCTAAGGAGTCGGTGTATACGTCAATGTGCT